CCTGCCTCTCAATGTGACACTTGATTATATAGACGTAGAATATCATGCGTTAAAAAGGTATATCTCTGATTTTGCGTAATTACTATTGCAATTGCGCTACCGTCGATAGTGACGAGAATGAAGTCCATCAATCCATCGCTGAAAGATCAATACTCAGACGCGTTCGTTCTGTGTGATTAGTTTTAAAATTAAAAAAAACCAGTTGCTGTACTTAGGAAAAACGACCACATCAACTAGTTTTTAAAACTTTAAAACTAATCACACAGAGCGAACGCGTCAGAGTATTGATCTTTTAGCGATGGCTTGATGGACTGCATTATCGTCACTATCGACGGTAGCGCAATTGCAATAATAATTCCGTAAAATCAGTGATATACCTTTTTAACGCATGATAGTCCACATTTATATAATCAAGTGTCACATTGAGAGACAGGAGCTTAGGTTGGTCCTGTGGTGAACCACATTAATACACTACTGCTTAAGATATCAACAATAAGATATTCGGTTAAACATAATAGCACAGACGTATGAACACTACGGCATTCCGGCTAAACACGATTGAATATAATCTCTCACTCAGATGATCCACCTTACGTGAACAGGACAATGAACCTATCAACAGGTACCTCGGCCATTACATCAGCTAACACCGGTTTCAAAGATGAGTCCGATTAACATAACGACTTCAGGAGAAGTTCTGATACGTCCTTGATGCATCCTCTATCACATAATTTATCCATTAGTCGGATAAATTGATATCGCCGTCTTAATAGCTAGAATATAAAAGAGCTTTATCTTTTGTTGGAATAAAACATCATCAGGTCCCTCAACAACCATGACATACAAGTAAACCTATATAAAGTCCTTTAGTCCCAATAAAATATTAGCATAGTATACCTTAAATTGCTGCATACTCTTTCTTTCGAGCAGTGTTACCACTAAATTGAGCGCAGTGGCTGCATATTAATTTAGTCTCTCAACTTTGATGCATCACCATAACCCTTCGTCGGGTATCATTATCTTCCTTACTGGGAGGATAACACTCTCAATAATTTTGTCTTGCATGCTACAGCGCACAACGTGATGCACTTGACCAGTACTCACTTTCATAAAATTCACTACGAAATATGTCAAATTATATCTTTTCTGTATTATCATATAGAACCAGTAGTGATCAATCCATATCGAAAATGTTACAATCTTATGCTATGTTAATTTGATCCCTATATGTGTTAACCTAATACAGATGGTCTGATATATGTGGACTGAACCTACATTTGAACAACTAAGAGACAAAGACTAGTAGAAAAAGAAGCCAAAGCTTCTCATAGAAAACAATTTTTCCAACTTGGCTTTTGATACGGACACCCCCCTCTGATCCTTACGGACACCCCCTTCTATTTTTAATCCTCATCAGGTTACACACATCCTATAAATATATACTTGTGGGGGTGTCCGCAAGGATGTATTCACTGGATTTGTTCACTTGTTATTGTTATTATACATCTTTCGATATATAACAAAAAGGAACCATAAAAAGTACATGAAAAACATTCCTTAATGCTTTTCAAACTCTCTAGGGTGTCTCTACGGATGTGTTTATGTGCAGTAGTTTATACAAGTATATAAATGCTCCTCAATAAACAGTATACTTTGATATTATATTTTCAACTTTCTATCTACGTTTATCATCCTACTATCCCAACACTATGGAGCAATTGATTGACACTACTTATACCGGATCAAATAAGCAAATTGTGAAAGCAATCAACGAGCAAACCAGAGAATACAACTTTGTGGTTCAACTAAACGAAGTGAGAAGAACGTAAAAATCGTGATCCAGTGCGTACATGGTGGAAGCTATCGCAATACACATGGAGTAACTGAAGAAACGCGGGGACGCCAAACAGCGACGAAAACGACCGGCTGCCAATGGACCATGAACCTAAGGTGGTCCGAGAAGGATAAGCACTGGAAAGTAACGAAGATCAGCAACGACAATGAGCACAACCACTCCCTCGACAAGCTTCCTCAGTATTACCACCAACACCGCACGCCAACTCTCCACGCCGAGCAGCAAATATTATCATTGACAGATAATTCCGTCAGGCCCCTCATGATACATCGAGAAGTCCAGAACCACGAAGACGGCGCAATTATGACCATGAGGGATCTATACAATTTTCGTGCGCAAATATTCCGTGAGGATAATCATGGCGGCTTCAGTAGGATATTCGAGTTCCTCATTGGTAACAACTATATCACTAGATATAAGCTGGACGGCACAGGTAAAAGTCTCGACGCCCTCTTTTTTACCCATGAAACGAGTATAGCAAAAGCACGACGATTCAACGAGATCATTGCTATCGATGCGACGTACAAACGAGCAGTATCAATATGCCTCTTGTCAATGTTGTTGGTGTCAGTCATCTCGGTGCATCAAAGCCCAAGAACGTGCTTATTGCCTCTGCTTTCTTGGTGAACGAGAAAGAAGAGTGGTACACCTGGCTCCTTCGGTCTATGCGACAAGTCGTATGGCCAGAAGGAAACGTACGCATCTTCATTACGGACAACGAAAGAGCTTTAATTAACGCCATCGAGTCAACTTTCAAAGATGCAGAGCATATACTTTGCGGGTGGCATATGGAGCAGCTTTTACGTAGCATCTTCAGTACTTGCTTTCCACCGAACAGCGAAGAGATAGGCGAAGCCAAAGCTATCATTAAGCAAATGGTTTATGTTGGCAAAAAAGACGAAGCGACTTTCCAGGCTGCCATTGACGCTTATAAGTGTCTGATAGAAAAAGGTGCTCATGCGTATGCCAACGAAAACCATAAGCGATCCAACAAAAAGCACAAGAAAACAAAGTCCAAAGCAAAGCATCATGACGACAGCAGCAATAGCGAGAACGAAAGAGATACTGAAGATGATGCAACGTCTGCAATACGTTTGCTGGCAAACAAAAAGAAAGAGAAAATGATGGACTATCTCAACGGGTATGTTGACTACCTTTATCCAATATTTGACTGGAGCTTTTGCCGAGTTGTGCTAACCAGCTATATTATATTATATAGCTGCCTTGAATATAAGGAGAAATGGGGTGCTTGTTATGCCGGAAGACTTAAACATGGGAATGAGGGCATCATCGCGTGTTGAAGGAACACACTGGCGCATCAAAGATACAATGCAAACCACCGGAAGCTTGTTTAAAACGGTCAAAGCAATTGATCGTGTCATGCGTAAATCGGTATGAACTACACCCTTTGTTTTCGGATTAAAAAGAGAATGTGTTAACGGATATGCTAATCAAAATTTTGTAGTAGTTGGATGATGAAGAGACCCAGTTTTTGCAAGAGAGACATAAAATGCCACTATATGGAAAGCGTGAATCGGCTGCGATGCAAGAGCTCTTTGGCACTATTTCGTTTTTTGCTTTGAATCGACTCCGAAGGGAGCTCAAACGAGCTTGGGATAACTGCGATAAATATGAAATTGACTCAAGCGACTGCTGGTGTGGTACCACGCTAAACTATGGACTGCCGTGTCAACATAATATCACACGAAAAGAGTTCATTATAAGCTTGTCGGATATCCCTCATCGATGGCGTTTGGAATATGACAGAGGTATAATTTTCTGCTATAGTAATACTGTGATTATACTATGCGCCTGTAATATACTTTATATACTGATATGAAAGTTATTAATCCACAGATAGCTTCCAGAAAGTGTATACTCCTGAAGCAATTGTACTAGAGCAACAGAACATGGTACTACAGAAGCTGCATGATGTACTCTACAATATGCGGTCGGATCAGCAAAAATCCGATTTACTTAGTAGTATCGATGGGACTATCGACGAATATACAATGAGTATCGACATTAGCGACATCGAATTACCAAGCAATGTGAAGACGAAAGAACGCCCTGCTAACACAAGAAATGCACGATTACCGTCAAAGTTCGAACTCGATGAAAAGGATAGCCAGCAACGCTTTCAAAATAGAAATGCCAACGAGTCAGAGGAACTCTCCGAAGGCAGCAACACTGAGGATGATAACATCTACATTTTTCCTCAACAAGGGAAAAGAAAGGATCCGGAGATGAACTTCCTTGAAAGCACGAACAAAAGGTACGTGCTCTTCTGATGGAATTCTAGCTAACAAATACTTGCAGCTATTATGATTTTTGTAACCAAACTAAGTTGTTAAACTATTTATTGTAGATTCAAAAAAGATTTTGTACCCAAGCTGAAGTTCTTCGTTCATCCAACCATCCCTCGCAAGTTCATTGAAACAACTGTCGAAATTATGTCCGATGGCTTCTGTGGCTTCCGCACAATCGCACATCATGTACACGGCAATCAAGAGGCTTGTATGTTGGTCAAGTTACAAATGCTGGAGTGCTTCAAGATAAACAAGGATATATATCAGCAGCACTATGTATTCATGCGTGAAAACTTACAGCGCATTGAAACATCACTATCTTACGCACTTGATGCTCCACGACCCCCGGAATCGTGCCCATCGGATTATTGGTTCCTTGCGCCTGACTTTGCACACATCGCTGCAGACACTTATCAACGACCTCTTGCAATTTATCCAGACAATGATAAGAAAAAGCCAGACTCTGACGAATACGCTTATGAGCCATCTCTAATTTTGCCAATGCAAGGTCCATCGTCCGACAACAAGAATCCTCTCCCCATCATTATTCAGCATCTCAATAACAATCGTTGGGTTACCATCGATACAAAAGGACGCATTATCAAGATGGACTGGCCGATTATCAACTCGATGTGTATAAAGGCATACCGATCAATGGGTAATATTGATAACCTGCGTAAAACAAAGTGGCGTTATCTGCAGATAAAAAAGCGTGACGACGAAAAGACAGTGCGTGCTGGACCCTTTACACTAGATTAATCATTCTACTACTTCCTGTGCAGTAATTCCCTCTCTTCTCGAACACCACTCTCTACATTTCATTGTTATTTGAAATATTCTGGCATGTGTTAAACAGCGATGTTGATAAGATTTACTCAATACCTTAAAGGAACATTATATTTTACATCACTTTGATTTATGGCTCTCCCGTTATATGGTATAGCAAATAACAGAACACACCACTTAAGTATACTCATAACCTTGCGGACACCCCACAAGTATATATTTATAGGATGTGTGTAACCTGATGAGGATTAAAAATAGAAGGGGGTGTCCGTAAGGATTAGAGGGGGGTGTCCGTATCAAAAGCCTTTTTATTTTATTTTTGCCAGTCTTTTTGTGAGTGTCACTTTGTATACATTCCTTCGTCTCGTTAAGATACGAATCTGTGTAAACCCTCTTCAATACGAGCAAGTACTGTTCGTGGTTTTTCCAATTTCTGCTGTTTCTTATGGTGTCACTGATCGTATTTGAATTGATCGTGTCGTTGGTTTCTTTCTGCCACAGTTCTGCAGTCTTATTGTATATGTTGTTGAAACGTTTTGGTGCGCTGTCAATTAGTGCGTTTCTGACATCTTCGTGTGGTTGTTGCTGATGCTTCTTAAGATGCTCGTATATGTTCGTCTTTACTAGCTCCCCGAGAACTCGCAACACATAGTGTTTACATTTTGTAGCATCGTAGCTTGGTCGTTGCGATTTTTTGACCTTTGATTCTCTTAACTTTGCACGGATGAATGGCATACTGATAGAAAAAGCGGAAGAGAAAGGTTGTGGCTCAGGTACTCGTCGTTTTGCGCTGCATTAATTCCGTTATACAGGATTTTTCCTAATGATTGGCGGGGCTTTTTTTCCCATCATGGCGGGGCTTTTTTTTCACTTTGTCGTTGGGGGTGTTTGTGATTGGCGGTGTGATTTTCGTGAATGGCAGGAGGAAAAAAATACAATGGCGGCCGAGTTACAGGTTGATGGCAGAATAATAAATTCATAATGGCGGCCGTAATTTCAGGTTGATGGCAGAATAGTAAATCCATAATGGCGGTTGGGTAATTATGGTTATCGTTTTGCCTTCTTTTTCTCAGCATGACAGTTAATGATTTTCGACAACTCTATATTTTATTAAAAAAAACATATATATATATATGAAAAAAAAAGTAAAAGGAAAAAATATAGAAGGGCAGTAAAAAAACATATAAAATATGAAAAAAAACTACAGCATCTTCTCTCCTTCTATACACCTAGGCACAAACGTAAGGGAGTGGCGAATCCATCCTTGGCAATCTTGGGCGGTGACTTCATGGGCGGAGTTGATGATGCGCGGCAGCAAGGTGTCGTCTGTGGTCAGTAAATGGCGTTTGACACCTGCCTTGAGCTTTGACCAAAATTCCTCAATTGGATTGAGGAATGGGCTGTAGGGCGGGAGAAAGAGGATCTCGAATCCTTGCTTGGCAATGGCATCCCGAACTTCATCAGTCTTGTGGATAGCGGCATTATCCAATACCAAGGTCCTTCCACCCATACCATTTTCGGTGAGCACCTTCATCATCACTTCCAAAAATTCGATAAAATGCTCCGCCCGAGTGCCGATTTTGCCCATCACCTTTTCTTCACCGTCACGCGTCTTGCGTTTCTATGAAGCGACAACCGCTTGAGGTCTCCGGAGACTCAAGTTGATTACACCTTCACCAGTGATGGCACCCAAGATCGTAATATTGACCCCACGCGACTTAGAAACCAAGGCCTTGGCGGGCTCACCTCGTCTCGATCGACCAAAGTTACGCTTGATGTGCATGTTGAAGCCAGCCTCATCAATAAAGACGCATTTGTGGTAATTAATGCCACTGGCTTCAAATGCGTGTGCCCAGTTGATCCGGGAAGCGATCGTTTCATCGGAGTTGCGGTACTCAGAGATCCGTTCCAACTTCTTCATAGTAAGCCCGCATTTGCTAACAAGGTGCTTCTGGAGGCCACTTTGAGTGATGCTGATGCCGAATCGATCAACAAGCGATTGCTGTGCTTCTTTGAGGGTCGCATCTGACTTGGTATCGTAATACGCCTGGAGAAATGCTGTGTGTTCGGGTGTCAAGGTTGGTGGAGGACCGGGAGATTTACCCATTGTACTTGGGAGATATGGCTCACCGTCGACAAATCGTTTCCAGTATCGCTGTGCGGTTCGTTCAGGGATCAACAAGTCGCGCCCAGCCTCTGCAGCGTTTAAAGTGACATTTTGGATTCTATCGATCAATTGGATAATTTCTGGATCTCGATACACTCGATGAGCTCCTATAGGAATTAAGAGTTTTGGATTAGATATCAGAAGCAACTAGAGGTTTAATGTTATTAAGTAAGGTTTAGTAATAGTAAGTAGCATACTTTTTGGGATGACAGGCTCTTTTGGAGGGTTTTTGCGAGGTCTTCCCCTTCCCTTTTTCACTGATTCCGTTTGGTTTTCTGCGGCTTCAGTACCAGGCGAAGTGGACGTTGGAGGATCGATTACCTTGGATGTAGAAATTTCCTGTGAATTACCAACCATTAATTAATAAAATATATAGAATACATATCATGTTCTACAGAATTATTGACCAATATATTTTGTAAGTACCTGCGATGTAGTTTTTATCTTGGTCATCGATACAAGGGAGTGTACACCACCAGTATGGCCACTAAATTCATCGGATACGATTTGGTACACGTCGTCTACTTCCATCTCCTCTTCATGCATATCAACGTCAGTATTGTATGGTAGCGTTAAATTTTTGATGGATAACATGGTGATAGTTGATGTAAAAAATCGAGTGATAATAATACTGTATGGACAAGTACAATAAATAAAATGATTCATACTTTTCAATTCTGTGAATTTGTTATTGAACAGAACTTGTAAGGTAACACCAAATGGGACAAAAAACAGTAGTTTTTTTAAATCCATTAGATCAACTCGCAATAATGTCACCCATGTTAAACCCACTAAGCAAGATACAGTTTGTAGCTAATTATAAAAAGTATCCCACCATTGTTACATAAAGCAAGTATTTGTTTAGAGACAACCAGCAGAGAAAAAAATATTTATTAATAAAAAAAAACTACGGATGTTGTAAAGCTGCCTCCAGAATACCATCATTAACCTTCGTCAAGAAGTGGTTACTCTTGGGAGCACGGGGCCGTTTGGGTGGTGGTGGCATGTGGGGGCGGTAGATGCGGATGAGTCTTGATGCCGTTCCCTTCGGCATCTTCACCTTGGCGCCGGCTTGCTCGATTGTAAGCCCATCCCAAAAATAGGCGCGCAGCACCACTACGACCTCGTCTTGGTTGTACCCGCGGCGGGGTGCTCGTTGCCGTCTTCGTGGTGGTGATGGCGATGATGGGGCAGAGGAGGCAGAGGAGGCGGAGGAGGATGGAGACCGCGATGCTGATGATGATGATGATGATGGTGATGTTGTAGTGTCTTCTTCAAAGTCACCAAAAGGAAGAGCCTTGCTCAATTCCTGAGTATTGTATACATCGAGACTGCCTTGCATGTCCACGTCTAATTCAAACTGCATGAGGTCGAGGGAGGAGTCGTTTGTAGAAATGATATCGGACATGATTAATAGTAAATTTAGAATGAGTTATTACAAGCAATGGATTTGAATCATCGGTTTATATACTTTTTTGTTCCGTACCTACAGATATATATAATTAAGCAATCCACAATGGTATCTACAACAGATGACAACATTCCATTATAACGCATAGACTTGAAGTTTCAACATAGAGTATATATGAATGCTACACCAGATGGGACAAAAAAATCACAGCAAAGCATAATTACGTGTAAGGTGCAAGTCAGCTAGAAAGGTCCCTCAGATGCAAAAAAAAATCTTAAAATAAAGTTTGGAATTGCCTTTATTGGAAATCGGAGAAATCTAAAGTTTGGGGGAGGCGACGATGGCTCTTGTACTTTTTCACTGCCCATTCAGCATGACGCATGTCGAGACCTCTGCTGTACATCTCGATAAACCTCCAGGCACGATTCTCATAATGGATCATGTGCTTGATGCTAATGCGTTTTGGAAGGTCCTTTACGCGTTGTTGCAATGATGAGAAAGAATAGTCACATTCGCGCCGAGTGATGCTTTTCATCTCAGCCCACACTCTTTCGATCCAGTTACACTCGCAATGGAATTTGGGATATAACTCGAATATCATGTGATGCTTCTCACGAATTTCCTGCAAGAGCGACTTCTGCTGCTGGAAATCTGGTTGGAAGGCTACGATATGTACTGCGCAGCAATTGACAGTTTTCTCTTGCTTGCAATGACGGATTAATCCCTGTGCGGGCCAAAGGTTCCTCTCCTTGAGTATGGCTTGAAGTCCCCGAGGCACACCATTAGCATCCACCATCGGCTGCACAATCCATTCTCCGTTGTTGCCATAGTAACCGCCGTTTCTTGATACAATCTGTTTTCCGCCCGGGCTCATATTCATTCTGTACGCATTAAGCGCATCATCGGGCATTGCAGAATGGTTGGAGCTCTGGTCAAAGCAGAAAACGCCAACGCAGTTAGGATGCAATCTTTGAAACTCTTCTATTGCTGATTCAAGCTGGTTGGCCATGTCGGTCTTTTTCCAATAGCCGTCGTTTTGAGCGCCAGGAATGATCGTCTTGCATGAAAAAAGACCATGGCAGGAACAAGCAAAAGCACTGAGCATGATTGCACGGCCCTGACCTTTCTTTCTGATCAGGCTCTCGTTGGAAGCCAAATACACGCCTCGCTTGCAGTCGTTGGCGTAGAAGTAGGTCTCGTCGTGTGTGACCAGTACTTTCTCATGCTCCCAAACCCTGGTAACCGCTCGTTCTGCTTCATCATCCTCATCATACCTCGTCATGAGCTCTCTGTGCTCAAGCATTCTCGTTGCCCATTCCTTGCGATAAATTACGACGTCTTCTCTTTCATGACCGTCGATGTATGGCGCTTGGGCTTTGTCTTCGATTTTAAACCCCCATTTCTTAAGGTATCGTCGTACGGTGGATTCAGATACGGCAATCCCAATGCGCTGTTCAGGGTTGGCCTCATCTAGTACGAGGTCATGCAAAATGAACTCTCGCAATGCAATAACTGTTCTTTTTTCGGGCTTCATTGACCTGAAAAAAGCAACGCATTTGTCCTTGATATGCTCGTCAGCAAGCATAGACGCGGTCTTGATGTGGGCTCCTTTGACAAAAGGTGTCAATCTCCCGGTTCTCAGATACTCGTTCGCCCAACCTCGGATCCTTTTCGCAAACCGTTGACCACGATTCCAATGCAGCGTGCTCAGCTTCTCAGATGCGCCTGTCTTCTCCTCTTTTTGTGATATCATCGTAAAGTAGTGATACAACGTGGCGAAACGCGCTCTCTGCAAACGATCAACATCAGGCGTTTTTCGATATAGGTCTGCATAAGGCCTAAGCGCTGCGATTGCTGATTCGACTTTGTCGTCATCGGCCCGCTTTTCCTCTTCTTTCTTGATCTTCATCTCGACCCTCTTTTGCCAAAACATCTCATACACGCGTAGGCAGCCTCGCTGCATTCTCTCTCTCTTTTCATCAGCCTTTTTAACTGTGCGCTTTGAGTCTTTGGCGTAATAGGTGTTGCGTCCTTTCTTATCAGCGCCAGGAACCCACATTAACGCGTCGCTCAGGCTTTTTTCCACGCTGACAAGGTCGACCTCAGGGATCTCCAAGTCGTATTCTTCGTTCTCGTCGTCGTCCGTGATTTCTTCTTCACTATCCTCGACATCGCTGACAGTCGCGTCTTCTTCGAGATACTGTGTCGACTCCTGCTCTGCCGCTTGCGTTACTCGAATCTGTTTGGCGCGTTTGCCCTCAACATAGTTAGATTTGCCAATTCTGGAGCGTTTTTTCGGTCTGGCCATGTTGAATTGGTGCAATGAAAGCTAATTTAAGTAATGTATAGAGGGATGGTATGGAAGTAAG